CTTGATTAGTTTCCATCCGTTGCTTCTTGTCCTGCCTTCAGGCGCTTTGGAGAATAGCTTGACTCCCTCTTCTTTGGGGCAGCCCCTGAGATACTGGAAGACTGCTATCCTGTCCCCCCTCGTCCTTCTCTTCGTTAAACTAGACATCCCCAATTCCAGCAACCGTTCCTTGTATGTTTTAGCCTCCAGTCCCCTGATCATCTTTGTTGCTCTTCTCTGCACTCTTTCTAGACGTCTCAACCTCTTTTTTACATGGTGTTTTTTTTACATCCAAAACTGGATGACGTATTCCAGGTGTGGCCTTACACACTTCCATGCATTTCTCGAAATGTCGACCTCTCTTTTCTTTTCTGCAGGGGCTGCCTGCTCCATCGTATGGGCCTCTCTGACACATGAGAACAAGTTCCATTTGCTGGTGATGCGGAAGTCAACCAATGCATCCTTCATCGTTTCATACGACAGAGGTAATAATGCTCGACTCCTTTTACGCATACTCCTCGATGTAGGGCCACAACGGAGGCCACCCTTTCGGTCGCCAAGCGAGACATTCGTTAAGCGAGCTTTGCCCCCATTTTACGGCCTTTCTGGTTAAGAGAATCCCTGCGGTTCCTAAATTAGTAACCCGGTTGTGACTTGGCTTGTCGCAAGGTTGCAAAAGGGGCTCACCTGACCCTGAGACGCTGCAAACCATCATCAATGTGAGTCAGTTGCAAAGCGTCTGAATTTGGATCACGGGACCGTGGGGAGGCTGGGACGGTTGCAAGTGTGAAAAGTGATCACAAATCACTTTTTTTTCAGTGCTGTTGCAACTTTGGATGGTCACTAAGCAGACTGTTGTAAATCAAGGAGTGCCTGTACAATGCAGGATTAGTTGCAACCCTTTCAAGACACTTGGGAAAAGATGCTTGCCTGGTGACGAGTTTGTTTGATATTAGCACGGTCAAGACGACTGTGAGCTATCTTTGCCAGCTCCCCAGGCTAGGGAGAAAAACCTTAACATGGCTGGCTGTTGAACTGGGACTCTAAACTATTTATGTATATCCAGAGCAGAACAGAACAGAATATGGGAGTAGAACAGAATATGGGAATAGAACAGAATATGGGAATAGAAGAGAATATGGGAATAGAATAGAATAGAACAGAATATGGGAATAGAATAGAATAGAATAGAATAGAATAGAATAGAATAGAATAGAATAGAATAGAAATAAGAATAGACTAGAATAGACTAGAATAGACTGGAATAGAAATAAGACTAGACTATACTAGACTAGACTAGAATAGAATAGAACAGAACATGGGAATAAAATAGAATAGAATATGGGAATAGAATAGAATATGGGAATAGAATAAAATAGAATATGGGAATAGAATATGGGAATAGAGTAGAATAGAATAGAATAGAATAGAATAGAATATGGGAATAAAATAGAATATAGGAATAGAATATAGGAATAGAGTAGAGCAGAGCAGAGCAGAGCAGAATAGAATAGAATAGAATAGAATAGAATAGAATAGAATAGAATTAGAATAACAGAGTTGGAAGGGACCTTGTAGGTCATCTAGTCCAACCCCCCCGCCTAAGCAGGAGACCCTACCCCATTTCTGACATCTGGCAGTCCAATCTCTTCTTGAAAGCTTCCCAGTGGTGAAGCTCCCACAACTTCTGAAGGCAACGTCTGTCCCATTGGTTGTTTGTCCTCACTGTCAGGAAACGTGTTTGTGTTCACACTCTAACCTCGCTTCTCTTTGTTCCGTTTCTAGAGTACAAACAATTTCAAGCACTGTATCACCTCCCTGCCCGTGTACCTAGGGGTAAGAACCATACTGCTCGCGGTTTATGAGACTCACCTGGTCCTTGGGAGGGATGCGATGGGTGGGTACGAATGCCCAACCCAGTCTAAACATCTGGCCAACTCTGTGACAAAACATCGTAACACCCGTTGGATTCAGCGTTTATGCCGCCCAACTCTCAGTAACTTTGGGCCGCTCACAACAATCCAATTCCAACAGAACCAAGGAAAAGATGCAAAAATAACAGAGCAGGTGAAAAAGAAGGGAGGGGCGTCTCCCTCCCTCTTCCCCGGGAAGCAAAATAGCAAAATGGAGGCTATCTGGGTCTTTTTTT